CCTAATTAGCTTCTAGCTACTAGTAGCTTCTTGTTACTAGTAGTAATGGCCTCCAACCTAATAGTTTCTAGATACTAGCAACTAGTAGCTTCTTGTTACTAGTAGTATTGGCCGCCAACCTAAGAGCGATGGCCTCCAACCTAATAGCTTCTAGCTACTAGTAGCTTCTTGTTACTAGTAGTAATGGCCTCCAACCTGATAGCGATGGCCTCCACCCTAATAGCTTCTAGCTACTAGTGCTTCTTGTTACTAGTACGTAGTAATGGCCTCCAACCTAATAGCGACGGCCTCCAACCTAGAAGCCTTTGTTACTTGTAGCTTCTTGTTACTAGGAATTTCCGGTGACACAGACAGTCCCCACCGGGCTCAGTATCTGTGGATCGGGCAACTTCGCCCAACCGCCTGAAACTTGTGAGAAAGACATCCAGAATATGTAAAAGTGGACTTCAGGTCCTCCCCTGTTGGACAAGGTGATGGTTACCTTCAGGTCCCTCTCCGCTGAGGTCTATTACTTCCCGCTCTCCGTGTGTTTGGCCCCGCTCCGCGGAGTTTCTCGCTGAGGTGCGCAGCCGCTTCTAAGGGATCGTGGCCACCTCCTCGGTGATCTTCTTGATCCTCAGCGTGGCGAGGGCGCTGCCAAACGCGCACGTGGTGAACATCGCGGTGAACAACTGCGCGGGTTGCGTTTCCGTGGCTGTCTTTTTCACCAACGCACGGCACGCAATCAAATTCGAGTCTGTTCTCTCTACATGCTCGCTTTGTTCGTGTGAGGAGCAAACTTCGAAACATAGAACGTCAGGACACCCACTGCCCTATTCTGAGACAAACTCCTTTGGCCCTTTCACTACGTTTCACTGCGTCACGGCCATGTCAGTTCCTAACACGAAAAAGGAACTTTCTGTCTGATGCCTCAGCAGATCTGGCGGCAAAAACTGTTCGATGTGACTGTTTGCTCATTCACCAAGCACGACAGGAAGGCTCGCCGAAGAACATGGAATGGTCCTTTCCAAGGCAAACGATACATATCATATTTATTTATTTATATTGTTTATACATGGCAATTAACAATATATACACAACAAGTTAAAGTTGCTCTGCCTATGTACAGTGTACATGCACAACATGACCACTACATACTCTTCCCTCAAACGCCTGCCTACAAAATATATCTAGTGTTTTCTTACAATAGTATGCCCCTTTATGCATTCATAGTACACGAAACAACATGCCTGAGAATCAAAGACCATCTGCGAAGCTGGCCAGCATGGAGAAAAGCACGGTTTAGGGAGATCAATTCAACTTCTCAATTCTGAGCTTTAGTTTAGTTAGGTCCCTTATGTTCTTCCTTCATCAACCTGATTTACAGTCACTCTAACACTGTCGGATTTACCGTACCCGTTGTTTTGCCACAATGGCTGGCGGACCTCTCAGTCTTCGAGAAATTGCTTTGTTGGAATGGGACCTTTGACAAGATCTGAGGTAAAATCAACCGGCAACCTCGCCAACCTCTCTCTGGATCTCCTCATGCTTCCAAAAATGTATCCCTCTTCAACCGTCTTGATTTGTAGTGGCTAGGTGAACCACTGACTGGCTTTATAAAATCCAGCACAATGTCTAAAACAGCTCTCAAACCTACCCACACAGAGGTTGAACCCACACAGGCGTCTCTTCTTCGTCCAAGGAGTCATTGCCAACAGTCTCCAATTTCAGGTTGTGGCACTCCATTGAGCTGGAATTCTTATTCAGGTTGTTTCAGAGTAGATGGCACAAAGCAAAAAATGTCTGTTAGGTGAGGCTCCGTATAAACCACCTTTCCCGATCTGTCTTTTGGCATACTACGATCCTGCGCTCGCATGTGCCGAAACCAAGAAACCTTCCCATGGTTTGGTCTCAAACATAGGACCAGATTCAGGCCAAGTTTCTGAAAGTAAGAAAAAGTGAATAGGACTCTAACCGGACCGGACTCTAATTATTACCCATCCCTTTAATCTAGGCATCGATATTGCAGCCAAACCATTCAAAGTGTGGACAGGTGACAAAACATGCCCCATATCATTCCATGTTAGTTTTGTGATTCTCTGATTTTCTGGAATCGCAAGACTCGCGGCCAATCATTGATCTGCGGGAGGATCTGGCTGATTTTATGGCAGAGTCGCAGGCAGGGTTCGTGCAGGCGAACTCTGATGCGACTGCTCTGCAAGAAATAAGACATCTCTTGCTTTGTACAGATTCTGGGTAGGCGGCCCCTGGGAAGGTCGCTTTCGACCGATCAGGGCCGTCCGACCGATCACATCGGCCGATGTGATCGACGCGTGTCGGAGGCGATCAGTCCAAGAGAACGGATGGCCCTTGTTAGGCTTGGTCCTAAAGTACCTGTGGATCGTTCTCCTATGGAGCTTGGCAGCGAATTGAACGCAACTTTAAGGCCACAAAGAATACGCCAATTACCAAACTGGAACACCTGGAAAGGGTCCTGCTGGCGATGCTCAAATCTCTCCAGGGCTTTGCTCTCCAATTTGGGAACGACCATGGCGAAATCAGTCAAGACAATACTTGCCCAGACCAAGGGCTGACGTCAGTCTGGCCGAGGAGGCTGTGGTGCAGTGGTGCTGTGCCGCGACACAGTGCGACACACGACGAGTACTGAGCCCCTAGTAGCTTCTTGCTCCTAGTCGCGGTATGGATGGGAGAGCCAAGACAAACACGACGCCCTTTTCGGAAGACACCAACACCCATTCGAGCGAACAGACTTGTCTCAAAAGGTTCCGACGAACCCGGTATGCCAGGGTTGGATTTTGACATGCGTCCGATCGCTCCGTTCGTAATGCCCTTTGTTCCCAGATGCTCCTAGTGGCTTCTTGCTCCTATAGTAAGGCCAGGAGAGTAGTAATGCCAGGAGCCCTAGATGATTCATTGCGATAGTACAGTAATTGAAATTAAACTACTCCCCTGCAGATTCACATGTAAAGTATACCAGCATAGACTGGAACAGTTTCAGCAGGCTTTTTGGCATCAGTTCTTGGTGGAAACGTCTGTAATTATACTCCTATAGCCTCCCTGTTAAGTGTAAACAACGATTTTTGGGACACTGGACTACGTCAGTTTGAAACGCTGCTTCACTGTGCACTCATCGCAGCAAAGAAGGCCCGACAGGGCCATAAGAGACCGACAACGCGCCGAAGACGGACACAGACCGGACACACAGAAAGAAAGGGCAGTGAAGACAAGGCAATGAAGAAGGGGCAAACGGCGCAGTCAAGCCTGTTGTCCAGTCCTGTTCTCCTAAGAGAAAAAACATATCTGCACTCCTTTCGTCACACAAACACCTGATCAAAACATGCCCAGCTCATCCATGGGTCCTGGCTAGATCGAACAGCAACTGGGTCAAATGTTGAAAGACGTTGAAAGCAAAAAGGTCCAAGGAACACCTACTGAGACACCTTTTTGGTTGTCTCTGTGACATCCCAGGGGCTTCAGCAAGGTTGCAGACTTGTCGCTGAAACCTGCTCGCCGTGACTGAATGAGGTAAAAAACACAACATCGAATGCTGCTCATCCGACTTCGTGGCAGGGGAGTATAGCCAATAGCCAGTCCTCCTGTCTTGGATGAACGCAAGAACGCCAGTTCATGTGATTTTTTCCGGTGTAGGCCTGGCTGTCTCGTGTCTTTCAAGTCTCGTGTCTTTCAAGCTCATGGGGTGGTGAATGCAGGTGTTCATGCCAGTAGATGATTCGTTGCTAGTGGTTGGAATTACAAAAAAATCTCTGCGCATAATATCTGCACTCCTTTCGTCACACAAACACCTGATCAAAACATGCCCAGCTCATCCATGGGTCCTGGCTAGATCGAACAGCAACTGGGTCAAATGTTGAAAGACGTTGAAAGCAAAAAGGTCCCACGAACACCTACTGAGACACCTTTTTGGTTGTCTCTGTGACATCCCAGGGGCTTCAGCAAGGTTGCAGACTTGTCGCTGAAACCTGCTCGCCGTGGCGCGGCTGCTCGCCTGCTCGCCGTGACTGAATGAGGTAAAAAACTGCTCATCCGACTTCGTGGCAGGGGAGCATAGCCAGCGATAGATGCACCATGCTTGATTGAAGTCAAGACGGGCTCCTGTCTTGGATGAAGGCGTCATGCACACAGGCTGTTTCACAGGGACGACTCTGCTTCATTCAAGTCACTCAGTGCAACTACGAAATCTATTGTTAGTAAACAAGAATGGGCCTTCCACTCTGCCCTTTTTGATGTTTTCTCTGCACTTTTCAGCACCTATTTCAAGGTCCTCTCTACGCTTTTCCGTGCCCTTGATATCTCGGTGATGGAACATGTCACTTGGTGAAAGACTAGGAATGGCCAACACAATGATTCAATGTGACATCTTGCACACTCTTTCCATCGTCGGACATTAAACTACAGTAACTCCTTCGACGTGTGGAAGCTTCAAAAACACCAGCCACTTCCAAGCCAGTTTCATGTTCCACCCACATTGATTAAGATACTTCCTACAACCTGGAGTCAAGCAAGGCAAAGATCCTGCATGCAGAATGCTATGGTAATTTGTAGATCAAAATCTATATATATACCTCCATCATTCTTCCCACCTCTTCAAGAACCAAACATTGGTCGACCATGTCGAGGGGTCCGGAACCCGAGGCCTGGCAAACCTGAGATGAAAATCGTTTAAACCAATTTAGAGCTATTCGGATGATTTAGAGCTATTCGGACACGTAAACTTTGTGGATAATTCTCACACTCCAGACATTATCTGAGTCCCAGTAATGGGGAAAGCCCTGGCTAGTTCAATTGTCACTCCAAAAAACATGTTTAAAACATCATTCCAAAACTTGATTCGGTTATTTCTTTGCGCCGTGGCACTTTTGGCTTGTGGCCTGGTGCCCAATCAGTCGACAGTCTGACAGGAGCCCGTTGCCGTGGGACGCAGAAAAGAACAACTCACCACAAGCCACGCCACGCGGCAAAAACAAAAATGTGCATACGCCTCACCAGCCAAAGCTCAACTCACCAAGCTTATCACTCGTCCACGTGCCTCAAGGCGGGGGGCTCGTGGTCAAGAGGGCCCTGTGCTGGTTAAGTGGTGTTGCTCGAGCTACGGGGTTCCGTGAGGCACCCGCGCGATAAACATTGTTTTTTCGTTCACCGTTTTCTTTGCGAAACGGTGTGAGCGGGTACCCCTTAGAACAACGCGAACCGCAAACGGGCTTTTGTCTCACATGGTCTCACCGTCACCAAAGGGCGTCTCACCGGGCCCCGGCAAGCAACCTGCCGGCCCCAGCAACACATTCATAGGGTTTTGTGAGAGGTCTGGATTCCTGTTCCAAAGTTGGAGCGCAAATCGCACCCTACAGCGCTCGGGTCCCTCGGCCGCTGAAGCGGTCTCGGCCACCTCGGCCGCCCTCAGTTCGGTGCCCGCCTGCCAGACAAAGCCAAAGATCCAGCCCTTGGACGAGCGAAGTCTTCGCCGTCAGCATCCGGCCGCGAAAGACGATGTTCATTAGGGTCTTGCTATCTATTTATATATACCTGGATCTTCGAGACGGCATGAATCATGGTCCTTTTTCAGGAACAAATGCCGTTACGGCGCCGTTTCCCAAAGCCAGCATGTTTGTTGTGACCAGGCGGAAAACGGTAGAAACCAAAAGAAACAGCGTTTTTAGACTTCCAAAGGTGTCCAAACCGGGTCTTTCCCCGTCCATAGGTTTTAAGCACATGTTTGCAAACCCTAAAACGGCAATTATTTTGATATGGCGTCTTTTCACTGAAATATGCATCTGGCAAAATTTTAGCGCCGTTTGAAGATCCAGGTATGTGGAAGACTGGAGGTACTGCCAAGCTAGGGCTGAAGGCCCAAGGCCGCCAAGTTGAATAGGTGTGTGTTGCCTTCGCTGGACAAATCTTCAAAATGCCAGACCTCTTCGTCTTGTTTTTCGTTTTCGGCAGCACTGAACGGGTGCAATGCCTAGTGTGACAGTGCTGCGACGCCAGTGACCGAACAAGCCATCAAAACGGTTCCTGCACTGTGGATTGCGGACTGTAAAGCCCCTCTCATTCTGCCTGCCGTTCGTAAGGCCAGGAGCCGTTCGTAGCGTTCGATCGTCCTTCGCACCGCTCCATCCCGCCATCACGGCCGCGCCCGTGGCCGGCTGGCCGGCTGGCCGGAAACAAAAAGAATCGATTGTGCCCATCACCATGTGACAGTGTGAAAGGTGTTCGCATATGCCGCAAATCTACTAGGACATAAGACAAATTACGTCCTAGTACTTCTGAGGCTCCTTGCAGCATCAAAAATGCTAATAATGCCGGCTTGGGGCCTGCATCACCAGCATCAGGTTGATGCTCTTCCCTCCAAACCGTCATGCCCTGCATAAAGGATGTCAAACAGAAAGGTTTGCTTGACTATTTTCTAGCTTCAAGAGCACCTTTCAAAGGAGCATCCTTGGCAGGAACCAACAACATGCATAGAGGTGGCAGGTCCATTGCACAACTCAGCAGCGTGAACTTGTTTGCAAGAAGGCGCTTAAAATCAAAGAGTCAAAAACATCGACGTTCAATTTGCCTCTCATTTTCGGAACTGTTCGGGCATTGAAGCGGAATCTATCCGACTGTTCGGAGTTTTCGCGGACTGTTCAGGCACAAGAGACACGAACTTTTCGACTTTTCGGATTTCAAACATTTTCACCGTCGATGGCTTCGTTTTCGTCCGTATGTAGGGAAAACGTATGACAACCTGTGACTCCCTGTGCATCTTTCGTTGGATGTCTTGGCTTGCTTGGCTTACGTTGGGTAGCTGAGGGCTGAGGCTGCGGTGCGTGGCTCAACGAACTTCGTCAAAGGATGTCAAAGGGGTGCTGTTTCTGCTGTGACTCGCGGCTTGCACACATGGGTGGGCATCAAAACGCACTGGCTCTGCTCTGGCCTGGCTGGTCTGGGTTTTGGCTGGTTTGTTGAGAGAGTCCAGAAAGTGAGCAGGCTTGGTCGACGCAGAGCTTGGCGTGAAACAAATGAGGGTGGCAAAAAGGCAAATCACCTGCCTCCCACTACAGCGCAAATATATGCAAATATGAACATATCTAGCAGGTCGCACTTTTGCCGAGGCTGCCAATGCTGGCGTGTAGAACAATTGATTGGTTTGGCATGGTGTTGGCTCGATTCGAAACATATGTATGTGTTTATAGTTATATGACATATGATATGATATAATGTATATTCATATATGCATACCGCAGAGGTTGGGTCTGTCACGTCCGTCCTTCTGTACATTCTTCCTCACTTAAGGTGATTAGGGGAAAAAATGCCGGCGAAAAAAGATTGCCGATGCTGATCCGATGCTGCCATGGCTCCATGGTTTGGACCGCCTGCTCTCTGGTTGATGAACTCACGCATGAAGTCAAGTCCTGAAGCACGTCAACTTCGACGATTGCCGAGAATCTGCGATGAGTGAAACCAATCCACACCTTCAAGCCCTTGCGGCCGTTGAGGATTGTGAGGATTTGCCTGGACATCGGTGCGGATACGTTGAGGCCGATCAACACGAGCCCATCGACACCTTTGACTCACTTAAACGTGCAGGGTGGCGCCCAATGCCACCAGGAAAAATGCACTTGCAAACATTACACATTGCCTTCACGCATTATTCACAACATGTTATGTTCACAAGCCGCCTGGCCTCAGCTTTCTTAGGGATCACGATCAGTGGGAAGTCCTCGCTCATGGGAGTAGAGGCCAGCTCTCCCGGCTGCCCGCCAGCAACAAGTGGGATGGATGAACCTTGTCCGCCCTTCGTTTGAACAGAATACGACTCGGCGTTCTTGTCGGCCATAATCGCCGCCAATTCGTCTGCCCAGCTCCCTGAGTAATGCACCTCAATTGAACGGATCTTGAATGTCTTTAACATGCCACGTGCTATAACCATATTTCATCATAATGCTAAATTTTGACCTGGGGCGCCGTGTGACACAGTTACAGTAGCAAACTTTCGTGTGAGACCTTCTGGAAAACGCATCGCAAGCTCAACAGCCGATGCGATGCGACTTTTTCACCAGTCAAAAACTGAGCAACCGCACCTTGCCAACGAAAGTCGCGCCTGCCTGACGTTCTGCACTGCGTTTGTTGCCTATGCCAGCCTGACGTTCTGCACGAAAGACGGGCCGATCGGTGGTGAATCAGTGAGTCTTGGCGATACCCACTCATCTGCCACCCTGGTGCCTTCGCTGGCCGAGTCTTCACTGGAGATGTGGGATCAAAGTGGGTCAATCACTTCCCAGTCCTCTTCGGACTCATGGTCCTGAGGTCGTGGAGTAGGTTGGAGGCCATTGTCGCTACTAGGTTGGAGGCCATCTCTAGTAGGTTCGAGGCCATCGCTGGTAGGTTGGAGGCCATCGCGGTCGTAGGTTGGAGGCCATCTCTAGTCGGTTGTAGTGGGTACATGTGGGAGATCCTCGTATGAAAAATTTCGCAGCTTGCGGCTTGGTACTTCCTCTTGGCTTCTTCAGCGTGCGAAAACCGCTCACTGTGCTGCGAAACATCTCGTGCGGCGAATTGGTAGCAGAAGTGAATTCCAGCGAATTGGTTAGTTGGTGAGTTGGTGTTCGTTTCAAGGACGATTATAATCCTGAACTCCAAAGCCATGTGAACTAGGTCCCATTCATTGGGCAGTTTGGTGCTCAGATGGCCGAGACGATAGGCCCACGGAAATGATATGCCCGCGGCCGAAAGCGGCCTGTTTCCAGCCTCAAAGCTGACCGTGAACGGTCTATGTTGGGAAAATCAACGTCCACTGTTCATGTCTTTCCTTGTTTTTCACACGCTCCATATTCAAGGTATTCTCACCACCCTGGAAACCGTGGGCCCAACTCCGGGATGATCGATGAGAGGCGGTCCAAACATGGAGCTTCCTAAATGTCAGAAACATATAAGACTGACTAACTTGAGGCGACAGTGGTGGACGAAAGGTAGCGGTTGGAAGATTCTGAGCAGGAGCAAGCAGCCAGCAGCAGCAGCAGCAGCAGCAAACCAGCAAAGCAAAAAGGTAGCACCAGCACCAGCAGCAGCAAACGAAGCAGCAGCGGCGGCGGCAGCAGTGGCAGCAGCGGCAGCAACAGCAAAGCAGTAGCTGCAGCACAACAAAGCAGAAAGCAGCAGTAGCAGCAGCAGTGGCAGCAGCAGCGGCTGCAACAGCAGCAGCAAAGCACCAAAGCTCACACAAGTTTGGCCTCCACAACCCTTGATTTTCGCTCAGTTTCGGGGGTTGTGCAGACGAAATTGAAAGAGGGTGGAGACTTGTCATGGTCGAGGGCAG